CAACAGACAGAAGACCGCTCTTGCAATCCCTCTGTTAAAATCTGCTGAGCTGGTGGAAGTTACTGGCTGGTTCAATGCCCAAGGGGGAAGCTAGTAAGATGTCTTGGGAAGAGTTCGTGGAGCAAATGAAAATGCAATACTGCTCTGAGCAGGATCTTCTGGAAATCAACAATGAGTTCCAGAATTTAAAGAAGGGAAAATTGAGCGTCACTGAATACGCTACAAGCTTTACGGAGAAGATGAAGCTTATTCCATACCTAATTCCAACTGAACTTTCCAAGGTCAACAAGTTTGCCAATGGATTACCAGCGGACTTTGGTCCGATAGTCAAGCAAGCAACCACTCTGAAAGCCGCCATCTGGGCAGCCAAGAATGTTGAGACCCAAATTAGGGAAAATGGTCTAGAGAGAGTTGAAGTTGGAGGGAAAAGGAAACACGAGGGATCTTCAATGATCGATAAAGAAACCAAACTATCGAAATCCGGAGGAAAAGATGAAACCAAGTGGTGTGAAAAGTGCAAGAAGAAGCACTTCGGAAGATGCGATGGAGAAGTGACCTGCTATAAGTGTGGTAGGACCGGTCACTATTCCAGAGATTGTAGGTTCGACAATTAGAAGTGTTACAAATGTGGAGATGGTGGTCATATTTCGAAGAATTGCCCAAAGAAGGACAAAGTTGCAAAGAAAAACGTACTGCCACAACCAAGGGCATTGCACATGATCCTCGACGAAGCGAATCATGTGAGCTGGACAAGATAGAATTAGAGCACTTCGTTCAAATTATGTGCATGGTTCTTTTAGGTTATAGCCTTCGAATTGGACAAAGAGTTTAACCTTTATCCTATTCGCGGGTCGTGTGCCACCATGTTTTAGTAAGGTTTTGCTTTGGTAGAAACTTTGTGATGCTCAGTTGGCTTTGTGAGGGAGTTGATTAGGTCCCTTCAAGGCAATGGAATGAGGTGAGTATCTTCAGGCCAGGAGTATTGGGTGAACGATATGATGACGATAATGTCGGTGTGATATCGGAAGCATTCCAGTCATGGGCTGAGGGTCAGGGAGGGCATTCCAGACTCCTTTTGTGGGCTCAGAGGCAATCCAGACCTATGTAAAGCACCTTGTAGGGGCATTCTAATCATAGGTTATGGGCCTAGTGAACATGGTTGTTCATTTCTTCTGCTTGTGGGGCTTTCGGTGTTGACACACTCATGGGAATCGGGCGAGTCACAACTCTATTGGCTGGATAAAAGGAGCATTAAGGGTTGTAGGGAGTATCAGTCAAGTATCATAAAGTCTTTGTAGGAGGTATGCATTATATTTTTGGTTGTTCGCAATCTGTTGTTAGGGTTTTGATTTTATAGTTGGAAATTGCTTATAAGGTCACAAATTATCAAGTTCTTTATAATGTCTCGAGCGGTAGTCTAGGTAGGAGTACACCTGAGCCGATATGAGTTAGATGTAACGCGATTTCTTTTTGGTTTGATCATCTCTGCTCGTCGAAACAATGGTTGGTAATGGCATAACAGAGAGTCAAGGGTTATTAAGGTTTTGGTAAATCATATGGTTTGGTTTTGGGTGAAGTTCATGATCTTTATGTTTTAAGGATCATTTATGCATGTTTCTGGTAGTTTCTCCAGTCAGGGACTGGGGGGCAGATTCATAATTAGATGCTTATCAGTTATAGAGAAGGGTCATCAAGAAGAATATGAGTGGCCATTTTCGAGTGGGATTTTAGTGGCAACTTGCATTGGGAATCACGGGTGTATTCATATTTGTTCTATGGAGGGTTCAGGATTTAGCTTATGTGTCTGTGCTCTGGGATGGTTCTACCTATGTAGAGGTCGGGCAAGTGATGAGGTTTCAGCATTATAGTAGCAACATGTCGATTCGGGGGTTAAGGAAATCTATATCTTGTATCTCATTGTGTTCATGGAATTTTTATCATCGGGAATTGAATAAATAGTTTGATGGATAAGTGTTATGGTTTTAGCATTGGTTTGATATGGGCGGTCTGTCAGGGATTCAAACCAGTTTGAGACTTTAGGATTTAGATAAAGTAGATTGGGTTTCTGCATCGGATTGTAGAATTGCCTTCTTCGAGTGGAAAATTATGATGGGTTCAGTTGCCTTAGGAATGCAATTGTATGTTCAAGGTTGTGGTTGTGTCCCTCAAGCAGTCGGGCATGTTGAGGATAATAAGAAATGATTTTGAGGACGAAATCGAATATAAGTAAGGGAAAGTTGCAACACCCAATTTTGAATTGCTTCATTATTTGGGGTTGTATCTCAATAATCAGTTATAATGAGGCTTAAGGCCTTAGGGAAGAAAGGATTTGGCTCTTTTTGGGTGTGGGCGCTATAGTTTAAGTGCTCCGAGTGTTCGATGGCATTTCGAAGCCCAAGGGTATAATTGTAATTTGTTAGTTTGTAACTTTATGAACTTTGGGTTCTTGTTCGGGAAGTTTTAAGGCAATGGTGAGTTTCTAGAAGCATAAGGCTTCTCATCCCCTTTCCATGGATTTAAAGGTCATCGGAAACGGACTTAGATCGAGGACATTATGGCCTTCAGAGTATTTAGCATTTTATATGGAACCCTAGTATTCGGGGCGTACCAAGGGAGTACGCATGGCATACTGCTGTGGAGGTCAGTACGCTTCGCGTAAAGTGATGTATGCAAGGTGTACTGCAAAGGATGGTGCGGAGGTGCGAGGCATCGTACACTGGTCGTACGAGGGTCATTTAGAAAACCCAAAATTTTGTGATGTGCCCTATATCAGCTTTATGATAGTCCCTTTTGATCAATTTTAAGATAACATCCATGCTCTAAAAATCCTAATTCGACCACCCTAGCCCATGTTTGGTGGTCTTGAAACTTATGTGAGATTTATGGAGGGCTTTGTAGATCTAGAAGAAGAAGGAGAAACTTGAATACTTGTTGTTTGAAGGAAAGTTTTGAGATCTAACATTTACACCTCCTTTTGGTAGCTTGGGAGATATAAAGTTTAAACCTTGCCTTTTAATTTCATGGATCTTCTTCTTGGTTTATTTTTGGTCATTTTAACCCCTTTTGGTTGATGAGTGGGAGCTAAAGTCGTTTTTGAAGCTTGAAATTGTAGATCTGGATATATCATGGGTTCCTTAGGCATAAAGGTGCAAACTTTATGGTGGGTTTGCTTCCATGCATGTATTAAGTTGAGTATTAAGCTCTTTTGACCCCTAGAGTCCCATTTGGCCATGAATGCACATAGAGTTGGCAACTTTATGTGATTAACCACCTTGGAGAAGTCAAAACTGAGCTTGGATCTAAGCCTTAATGGATTAAGTGATAAATTTGGAAAGATAGTCATGGTTGGTGAGTACGTTGGGCGTACAAGTATGTACGATGCACATACAAGACTAACATGCTGTACGTTGAGCGTACAGGCTGGGTACGACCCACGTACTCGGCATTCTTGGTCCTTTTGCATTTTGGGCTTTGGTTTGGGCTTGGTTGTGTTGGGCCATCTGAATTGTTATAGTTGCACTGTTGTGACTTTTTGGGCTTTCATGGGTAAAAGCCTATAAAATGAATTGGGCCCAATTTGAAAAATTAGGCCATATTTAGGCCTTAGATGTTTATTTTATATTGGGCCTTTGGTCATCTAGTTTGGGCCAAACTTGAGAAGGGTAAAAAGGTCTTTTACCCTAAATTGGACTCATAGTGTGAGTCGGGGGCTAGATGTTGACAGGTTTTCATTGAGGTATTTGATATCGCATGGATTTTTAACGGATCTAAAGTTAGAGATTATTTTTGGGATCAACTGTTGATGGGGTGTTGTTTTGATATTGGCAGTTCGGGAATCTATCAGTCAGCAGCCAAGGATTTTCTATATGGTTCGGCAGTGCGAGGTGAGTTTTTCTCACTGTATTTATGGGTCGAAGGCACCAAGGTTGGCCCACTGGTTTGATATCCTACTATTCACTGATATGCTGTGTATATAATAGATCTGCATGATTATGCTAGTTGCTAATATGTTAGTATGGTAGATCTATAGGACTACCTATGATTCTGTCTGCATGATTATTTGTACATGTTTGTTATCTGTCGGCATATTGTGTTGGGTTGAGTTTGCATTGCTTCGTGTTGTAGACAAAAAATCCTGGAGCATTCCATATATGAGGTGGGGGCTGGTAGGGCATGCCAGACTCATACCGAGGGCTCAGGTGCATTCAAGATATGAGCTGAGAACCTGATGGTATGCCAGAATTGTACTAAGGACTTAAGGATATTGGAGCAATCTAGATATGTGCTAAGGGTCGGGTAGGGCATGCCAGACTCATACTAAGGGCTCGGTATGCCACAACCGCAAGAAAACAAATTGGTGTTTATTTATTGAAAACATTTTTTTGTGAGAACATCAATTTTGGTTTATAATAATTCCCCCCCCCCCCCTCTCCCCCCTCCCCAAATTAATTTTTTCAAGCCCTGTCATTGGAAAAGGGTTCTCAGATACTTCTTCTCATTGGATCTTATATATATATATATATATATATATATATATATATATATATATATATATTATATATATATATATATAGAGAGAGAGAGAGAGAGAGAGTTAGGTTATATTGTTTTTGCTACGCATTTTGTGCTTGTGTTATGCATTCTAGGTCAATCATTTGTGGTAAATTAAGTGGTTTTCTTTTAAAATTAAACAGAAAAAAACAAATTAATAGGATTTCATTAAATGACTGGGCACAGAAGGGTGGTATGGTACATTGCCTTGAAAGTTTAATAGGAAACCGTCTATAATTATGGAAGTGATCCACCGATTGTCCCAAATATCTCGCATACTATCAAAATCAAACACCAAAAGCTTTCGGAGATTGAAAAATATCCCAATTTTCTGTATTCAATCTTTAGAATCTGAAGATTCGTAGAAGGTTTTTTATATAAATATCGACAGTAAACCCTAGAAGACGGAGTCGGCATTTGGCCGCTTCTGTAAGCTTTATTCTTGAAGAATGAGGATAACACGAACGACTTCATTCAAGTCGAAGTTCAAGAACATAGTAGAGACAACATTGAATCTTGAAGATGAAGTTGATGATTTCGTTGCCGACCCTGAAGGTAAGAATTTTTTGTTTTATCTGATGTTTTTTTTTATTTCTAAGATGTATTATACTGTTAGAAGTATATTTAGAATAGTTTATGTATGTATGATTTGTGTTTTGCAAAAAGAATGTGTGATTGTTATGTAATTTCTGAAGAATAGTTAATGATTATTATATTGTGTGTTGATGTGCTAAAAAAATAATAATCTAGTGGAATGAAATAGTTTTTGGTGTTGTTCTGCTAGAATGGTCTATTTTTACAAACATGAATATGTTTGTTATTATATTAGAATAACTCATGTTCTTGTATAATATAAAATTATAAACAAAATTTTTGTAAATAAAGAGTTAAGTAGAAGAGTATAAAGATTTTAGATTCTATTGGAATTGAAATTTGTTTATGAGTAATGACTTAAACTAAAACATTTTAAATTCTTACAGATGGGATATACTTTACATATGTATAACTCCATTAGAATGGAACAAATTATATGAGTGTAAGTATACCCACGGATAGTTGATTATATTTCTTGAATTGAAATGTCTAAGATTCTGGTAGAATTCGAATTTTTGATTTTGTTTTTTGTACTGTTATAATTGCAATAATATGTATAGTATGTGTACACTTTGTTATTAAGTGTTTATTAATGGAAAATTTACAATTTTTTTTTATTGATAGATTGTGTATGTAATATATTCTAATAGAATACCAATATGTTTATGAATATAGGTATTTCAATGTTCAGTGTATGATGTATCGAAATGACATGTATGATGATATGGTGTTGAGTAGGCTGTCTTTTTTATATGTGTAGATTTCTATTAGAATGGAACGATTTATATGATTGTAAGTATACCACTGGATAGTGGATTATATGTCTTGAGTTGAAATGGTTAAGATTCTTGGTAGAATTTGACTTTGTGAATTTCTTTTTATACTGTTATCATTGCAACAATGTGTATATTATGTTTAGTCTTTGTAGTTTGATGTAGTTTATATATGATATATTCTAGAAGAATACAAATATGTGTTTGAATATAAGAATGTCAATGTTCAGAGGATTATGTAGCGAAATGACATGTATGATGATCTGGTAGTTTGTTTTATATTCTGTTAGAATTGTAGTTTTGTGAGTTATTGACTATTCTGTTTTTTTGTGTATTCTGTTGGAATGGCAATTTCGTGTGTATTATCTTTTTGTTATTAAAATAATTTTTTATTTTGTTGGAATAATAATAATGTCTTGTATTTTTAAACATTAATTAACGTAATGTGTTTTGCTCCAGTATTGAATACATTATACTATACATTCTAATATTTATTATGTGTTATAGCAGAACAAGTACAAGAAGAAGAATAATGCATGAAATGAGAAAGAAGGTCAAAGAAAAAATTTGATAAATCAGTTCCAGAAAAGAAAAGTCCTAAACCTTTAAATGTACTACTTTTGGAAAGAGAGATAAGATCAAAGAGAACACATGAGAGAGTTCCAATTGTAAAGAATTTAAAGAATAAGGGAATTGATGAATCTATCAAAGAGGAACAAGAAGATAATGTTATAAAAACAAGTAAGGAATACCCACCTCGTTTAAGAAACCTTCCAACCAGAATGAAATGTGATAACATCACTGTATCTGTTAGGGGCATGTCACCAGAACAAAAAACGAGCAATCTTAAGAATGGGTTTTGGGTCAATTCTGCAAGTGAGTATAACAAGTTATCCGGGGCAACTAAGCTACTACCTTTTAGATGTGTATGATGCTGATAGTAGAAGACTTGTCCTACAAAACTTTGTTATTGAGATCACAGAACAGACAGTCCATGATATGATGGGGTTGCTAATTGGTAAAGAAGACATCAATGAGTTGCCATTGTGTGACAAGGGGAATCAAATTTTGGAAGAATGGAGGGGACAATATACTTGTGATAAGTTCAATGGTGAGGAGTATTTAAGAAGAATTCAGGCTACATCAAAAGATAGTTTGATTTTTAGGCTCAATTTTTTTGACTCTTTTCGTTAACAACTTCATAGGGTCAATTTTGAACAAATCAAGTAAAAGTGGTAAGGAAGTTGGTGTTGGTACAAGACTTTTCAAAGTTAAATTGGTGTAAATATATGCTCGACTGTTTGGGATCAAGAAAAAAACTATGGAAAAGAGATGACAAATCAAGCTACTACAGTGGTCCTATTACACTCTTGCTAGTAAGTGTGAAATGATGTTATATGATAGTATAGATTCGGTAGTAATGTATTATTGATATATCGATTTAGTTAATGGTTTTTTTTGTAGTTGGTGTACGTGTATAACATGAAGTATTCTATCAAGTTGGATAAAAGGCTTCCTTTTATTGAGCATATAACTGGTGCTTATTTATTAAAGATTCAACGTTTGGAAATCAGTTTGGGATGGTTCGGAAGGCAATTTCGGGATGAGCATGACGATGTCGATATGAATGATGAAAAAAGGAGGTGAAGAGCAACAATTGGTCAGTTTTAAGAGGGATTTTGGAGATGAGGAGGTAATATTACATTTTTGAAGCTTACATAGTTAATTTGTAATTATTTGAATTAATATTTGAATTTAAATCCTGGTAGAATATAAAGTAAATATTCTCATATTAAAGTTGTTGAACTATTCTTGTAACATAATTAATAATAAATTATATGTATTGCAGGCGTACGCTATTGTTTTAGAGCGTAGTTATGGGTTAATTCTAACTGGAAAAAAGCACAATGGAGGTTGCGTTGAAGGATGGTTTGGAAAAGTTCTTTGATAGTGTGGTGTTGAAAGAGTGGACGGAAAAGATGAATGAGCTTTTTAGGGAAGTGCATGAAGGCGCAAACAACAAAAAAGTGAATGAGCTGGAGGGTTATAATGAGTTAAATATGAATGATATGGTTGATGGTGGTGGAGGAAATAGTTCACCTATTAAAGGATTGGTAATTAATGAATTTAATGTAGAGAAAGATGTAAATTATAATACACATGTGATACCAATGCTTTAACAATGAGCCATTTTCATCAACTTCCAGGGGTGAATGATGAAATGATTAAGTTGTTGGAAGAAACTAAGTTACAGGTGTATAGAAGGAAAAAGCTAATATCAGGATTCAGTGGGGATTATTTGGTTGGAAGAAATTTAGGAGAAGCTGTTGATAATACTGCAGAAGATGTTGATAATGAATAAAGGGAAAAACATATCCCTAAAAAGGCAAAAATATTTCATTCCCAATATATTGAAAGAATTGTTAAGGTTGGGGATAAACTGACTAAGGATGAAACAGGAATATGCAATTCAGCTTTTGCATCTAATAGAGATGATGGGCAAGTATATATGAGTCATTTATTATTTTTTTAGAATATAAATGTAAATATATGTAGATTGATTTTATATATAATTTGTGGTATAGGGATGATATTTGGGACATTGGAACACGTCATTTGTTGCACCAGGGTTTTGCATTTCAATTTAATCAAGGAATGTTTATACATTCTAAAGTAATTGACTGTTGGGCTGGGTTTTTAAATAAAATGGAGAACTACAAGGATGAATCGTCGCTGTCAAGATTTTTCTTCGATACAACTATTATGGTATGATTTTTTTTTGTAAACTAAGTTTAAATTCTAACTTATTTTTTTAGAATTAATATTGTTGATGATGTGGGTTTTTATAGACAGAAGAGATATCGAATGAACAAAACATCTGAAATGTAGGCTTTTTGCTACTCTGTTGCGAATCTACATTAAGAAATTTGATGTCAAGCCAAGTTTCAGAGATGTTGCACTTGTAAGTATATTCAGTGAATGTATTAATTGTTGCATCACTTAAGTATTAAATTAACTTTGTTTTTTTAATGTATACAAGGTTTTCTTTCCAATAGTTGATGTTGCAAAGTATTACTTACTGATCTTTGATTTGAGATCAAGTTCATACTACATAGTGGATCATGTGAAGAGAACATGAACTTTGGATACGAAATATGGCATGATACCAAAATTGGTGGTAACATACTAAATAATATTCAGAACATCCAGCTTTCATTCTAAATATTGTTTACAAACTACATTTGATGTATTTTTTGTATTCGATGACAAAAAAAAACTATTCGACAACTACTTAACATCACATCATCATCTAATGGAAAAAGCCTTAAGTTTTAAGGCGGGGCGAGTGATGAACATATCTTGGCAAGTAGAAAGCTCTGGAACAGATTGTGGAGTCTACCTAATGAGGCATATGGAAAGTTATATGGGGGAAAATGAAGTGTGTTGGGAGTGTGGGCTTACAGGTAAAATGTCGGGTGATGTGACTATTATACTTAAGTTAAGAACGAATACATGGCAAGATTGTTGACAACTGATTTCAAGAAGTATAAGAGTATGATAGTTACAAATTATGAAGCGTTTCGTAAGATGGATATTTTGAAACAAAATATGTTTCTTCAAGAGTCAGCTGAAAAATAGGAAGAAAAAGAGAAAAGCGAGGGGCCATTGGTAAGAATGTGAAGTGGTAGTTTGGTATTTTGAAGATACATGTTGACATGATTGTATTTGAACCCTTTTTTGCGGTTGTTCAAACAAAAATCTTGTTCATGTCAGCTTTTGGAAAAAGTACTTTGTCTGTCAGAAGGTTTGAATAATTGGTATCAATATGTAAGATTATATCTTCTAATGGAATGTTTGTTTTGGTTTAATGGTTGTATTGATGCATTGTATTTTGTCGTGATTGATGATGTTGTAAATTGTGGAAAACGGACTATGGTAGAATTAGAATTCATTTAATGTTAAGTTTTTGACGGGTTTATTAGGAAAAAAATTTAGTATTAAATTGTTAAGTTGTTTTTAATCTATTACACGGTTGTTGTTAATAATCGATGTGTTGATGAATCTTTTTTAATAGAATATTTTTATTATCATGATTCTAATACAATATGTTATAGTATTTAATTTTCTATTACTGGGATGTATATGAGAAATATATCTTTCGGTATAATATAACCTTTTTGAACCAAAATATGTGTGTATAAATGTATAATTCAGAGAAAATCAGTACAAAAATTATATTGGAATGAATATATTTAATAAATATATAGTATTTTTATAATTGAATATTGTTTACTTAATATTTGTATATAATTTGAATTATCTTATGTCGGAATAAATTGTACACATTGTTTATATACTATATTAAGCAACAAAACATTTAGATAAAATGAAAACTAATAATAAAATGATTGGAAAAATTGTATAACATGCTTTCAGATATTCATAATGAATTTATAGAATTGATAGAATGAATATTTATATTTCGTAATATAATTATTCTAAGAGATAAAAAACATAAATATTGTTAGATTATTTGACAAGGGCATGGTCACTAACAGTCAAGGTGAATACTTTATTGAACCACATAAAAGATAACATTGAATGTGAACTCACCAACGTAAAATGAAATGTGATTTTACTAAAACAATTAAAGTAACACATAAAGAAACTATTCCTAGATGTTCTTTAAAGGACAATTTCTTTTATCATGATGAGTCATCTATTTACATATAGCACATTTTCTCTTAGGTTTCAAGATTTTTTTCTCAATCATCTTGTTTCTAGATCTTAATCTTTTCCCATGACTGCCGCATCCTTTGTTACGAATATCTGAAGGATTCTGAATATCACTAACATCAGATACTACATCAGGAACTACCACGCCTACAAGCTTGTTGAAATGTTCTGCTCTGTTCAGTCGATCATGATTTAGACAATCATCTACGATTTTTTTTTCAACTTATTATGCGCGCCAAGGTATAAATTTAACTTAGTTGCATCATGACTCAAAAAAGAAACATAACGGTCAACAGTATTAAAAATATCAATAACAATCATGTCGGAATTAGAATCGTTAAAAGAATTAGTGAAGCGTCTTCTTAGTAATCCTGTTGGAATAACATCCCTACGCCAACGTTTCAGAATGTACTTTTCAGGAAGTTGTTCGATGCTATAAAACTTAAACACAAAGAATATGTGTCTGCATAAGATCCTGACATGTTCAAAGTGCATACAAGTACATTTCAATGAACCATCTTTTGTTGAGTGTGTGACCTGGAATATATAAGATGATTAAGGAGAATGTTTAAGTTGTAAGTATTTAGATTGTAAATTCAAAGGATAAAACGACAATTTATGTGAAAAAAATATCGTGTATTCAGTATCCCTTGTAAGACAATCGTAATTGTATTCCTCGTCTTTGTCATCAACATCGACATCATTTGGTTGCGTAGTGGTTATGTTGTTTTTTTTCTCCAAAACGATAATTGTGTCAACACCGTTGGAAGATATCACATTCTTTTGGAAACATTTATCTTCAGCTCTTGATAACTCTTTCTGAACCTGATAAAAAATCTTGCGTGTATATACCTTTGAAGCATGAGCTTCATTCGGACTACAGGTACTGAATTTAGGAAAAGTGGTGGCAATATTAAAATCATTAAGAATTTGATTATGTCTTTGTCGTTCCGTGATTGAATCAAATGTAATCATAAACATGATAAGATAAGAACCGGTTAATGTGGTTGTTTGAAATGACCAATTCTGACTTTCAGACAGCGATGTAGTTCGCATAAGACCAGACATTGGGATATGCTTGAAAAATGCGAGTATCCAAGATTTTCGCAAACCATACATGGTATTCATCCCACTGTTATCAGTAATTTTAAACTCCTCTTACATCGTATTCCATACATGCTCAAAGTCATGTGGTTCCAAGTTAGAATTCCAAATTATAGAGTGAAAACGCTTTCGAAATTTTTGATTGGTTGTTGGATCTTCAATTGATAAAATATATATAAATTTAAATTTAATGAGGATGAGTAAAATATAAAAAAGTTAAAGCAATTAATTCTGGTAGAATTTGAGTAAATCATAATTTATCCATGACAAAAAAATAAGGATAATAGTCTTTCGATGCATACCTTATTTGGCAACTTCTTTGTAATATGCCACATACATAACCTATGATGTGCCAATGGGAAAACGTTATCAATAGCTTTTTTCAAAGCTGGATCTTGGTCGGATATAACCAGTTGAGGTTGTTTTCTAAAAGCTTTCAAAAAAGCTCTAAGCAACCATTCATAAGAAACTTCATCTTCTTTACTTAAAAGTCCAGCACCAAATGTTACACATTTTTTCTGGTTATCAATGCCAGTGAACGGAACAAAAACCATATCATACCTATTGTAAAAATATAATATTATTATACATAACTGAAAACAATTAAATTCTTATTCTAAAAGTGTTAAAGATTAGAAATACTTATTCATACTGAATGTGGCATCGAGTGATACAACATCTCCAAACAAATTGTAGTTATACTTTGCTGTTTTGTCAGCTCAGAATAGAGAATTCAATCTTTTGTTCAACACTTTATACTCAAAAGTAAATGATGGGACATTTTTCTTCCTGTCATTCATCTTGTCAACAAGGAATTTCACATCCCTCCCACCTATGTAACAATTCAGATTTCTCCTAACATTCTTGAAATCAAGAACCAATCCACCTCGAACCGAAGGACCAACCTAAAGAGCTATATACAATCTATGTGCTTTTACAGGACCAATATTTTGTTTTGACAAATTATGAATGAAAATTTTCTGGGAATAATCAAGTTTTCTCTTTGAACGAGATAAGTACATATTGCCCTTGCTAAACAACTTGTGATTGTGTTGTTCGAAAAAATCACTCACAACATATTTAAGAGTACCTAGAATTATATTTAAAACAACTTTCGCTTTATAATTCTTCCTAAATAAATCTTTCCTTCTTTGAATCTTATTATGCTGAATGTCCAGAGTATCTACTTTACTAGTATTTAGATTACCTTCTCGATTGCATACAAGATGTCTATTTGTAATAATCTTGTTTTTTGGTTTTTTTTTTTTTTTTTTTTTTTTTTTTGACTCTTCTAAGCTTGACATAAAAACCAGATTCTAATGCATAGTGCATGTACATTGTTACTGCTTCATTATATGAATCAAATTTTGATGTAACTTTTGGTTTGATATTGTCTGAAACTATCGGGGTCCAATACAAGGTGCCACCAGGAATAATTTTATTAGTCAGAAAAAACACAGCAAAAACAAAATTATTCTGAAAGAATTATATAAATATTAGTCAGAAATAATTTTATTATTA